CTGCCAACCCCTGCTCTTTTAACCACTTACCTAAGGAGTCGGGTCATGACTGGGAACCACATGGGTGGGAACTGAACATGTGGGCTGTGTCCTGCAGCATTGGAAGATCAAGAGTGGGCCGGTTCAGTGGCGAGAGCAGGCTGGTGAGGCAGCAGTCCTGACTTGTGTAAATCGATCAAATCACCTCTCAATCTCTTTGCTCCAAGGACAACATTCCTATCGCTTTCCAACCTAACAATCCTCACTTCTGCTCTGCAGCCACTCAAAGACCATTACATCCTTCCCAAACAATACTGGAACTGGCCACAAATAATCCAGTTCTGGCTAAACCAGTGTTTTATAAAGGCTCAGCAAAAGTTTCCTGCTTTCGTACTCAAATTCTCCTATTTATGAACCTCAAGGCATTTTCCATTTTCATGTTTACATTTGTTTGCTCTGCTTGTCTACAGCACCTGCCTCCTGAACACTTTATCCGCAGCACCGTCCACAGCTAACCCTATATAACTGCAGGTTCCAAAGGAAGTACAGCAAACTTTGTTTTAAGAGGCACCTTATGAACAAGCACTTTTGATAAACTGCCAAAAATCATATACCTCAAACACCGCGAAAGTTACTGTATTATTCTGTCCAGTTATTACAGTTTTTTACATTTATTTATCTCAAAGTAAATATACTTGTTGTTCAATCTAATGGCCATGTGAAATATCAATAGTTGATTCAATTTCAAGTCAATTTCTCTGGAAATATTATGATATCTGAGTAGTTAGTTGAGGGTGTGAGTGAGAAGGCTTTCTGCCAGTAAGTTTTATTTAAGCAAAATTGCATTATTATGTAAGTGATTTATGCTGTAAATAAAGTATAACAGTGATGTGTATACTCACTACATTTTGTTTCTATTACTTAGTGAATATTTTTACAATGATTATGTGGACCTCTTGATCAACTGGAACATTTGATCAATTGGCATACTCGTGGTCCCATTGTAGCTGGGCAATAAAACTTTTACTGTACCAACATAACAACTGGCGGCAAGAGTGGGATCCAGCTCACAAACTGTGTTCAAAGACCATTTTTTGTTCTGGAGGCAACTTTGCCCAGACTTTGGAAACAGTGTGGGATTAAGGAGGTAACGTCGAGGGAAGCTGTTGCGAAGGGACTTGGGCTGAAGTCAGTGCCAGGAAAGAAGGTACTCAGTGGGAAGGGGGGCGAGAGCAGCGGTTGTGAGGGGATTCAGGCCAACAGCTGAAAAAGAGGATACACGCCCGAGAGCTACCGAGGTCATCATGGAGAGCGATCACGAGGTGACTCAGTCTGCGGGTAACACCAGAGAGGATTGGCACACTAACATAGTCAGTGAGGGAGCAGCCAAAGCTGACGGTATTCATCGAGGGGACTCGGGCTGTGAAGGGCTACCAGACTCGAGTGGTGGGAAAAATGCCTGCCGATGGGAAAACAAAATGGCAGGCCAAATGTGGAATGATGAGACTGTTTGATGAAGATTCAAAAAATTGGACTTTATACACAGAATGTTTTACTTTTTTCTTAAAGGCAAACAAGGCTTTTTTTTAAAAGTACCATTGGGAGTAAGACCTTTATGATTCTAGGGAGTCTGGTGCAACTACAGAAACCCACAGAGAAGGCATTCCATGCGCTATGCAAAATATTAGGAAATTATTTTGATGCTGATGATCACAGAACATTTCCATTTTTCACAAACGGTACAGCACAAAGGAGAATCCCTAAAAAGGTTAGCGGAACATTGTGAATTCGGAGGGTTTCTCTGAGATACCTTGTGGGACTGCTTGGTTTGACCTCCAACATGGAGCCATTCAAGGTAGTTACGAAAAGGGAGAGAGAACTGGATTTCAAGGCAGCTTCTGAAATTGCTACCTCAATATGCTGGCCACCAGCAAAGCAACTCAGTGGAGTGTTGATACCTGGGTCCATCAAGTCGTGGAAACTCAGAACAGTGAGATAACAACTGTAGAATGCCACCAATGAGGCAAGAGTGGCCACAAGGAGATGACACGTTGGATTCAAGAAGCTTAGTGCCACAGGTGTAAGTGAGTAGGTCATATTGCCCGAAATTTCCAGGTACACCCAAACAAGAGGAGAGTCAGAAAGAAACGACCCTGATGACAAGGCATAAGGTACATGCCCTCAGACAAGGAGTAGAGCGGGAGTCAGTCGGGTCTGCGGGAGAAGTAGAGAGCCCAGAGTCACCAGAGTTGCAGTTAAACATACTATTGGTACAGGATGAAACTGATTGTTTCTGGGTTCTTCCCAAATTAGATGGGAAGACAGTAAAAATGGAAGTGGATATGGGTGCTGCAGTGTCCCTGATTTCTAAACCAGTCCATAGGGAGAAGCTGAGGGCATGACCATTGAAGCCTGCCAAGATTGTACTACAGACATACATGGGACAAATGGTGCCACTGAGGGGCTATGTAGTGGTGAGAGTACAAGACCAGTGTGGAGAATTGCCACACTAAAAGCCAAACACCCTGCATTATTCAGACGCTTCTGATTACGAAAATTAGGGTTGACCTGGGCAAACATAGTTTGTGACAGATCCTGGACAAGTACAAAGATGTCTTCAAAGAAACCTTGGGGGAAATGAAAGGAGTCTAAATTACAGATGAAGCCAGAGGCTCATCCCAAGACCATACTCCATCTGGAAGTAGAGGCGGAACTGGAAGGGTGAATCTGGGAGCATTGGAACCAGTAACAACCAGTGAATGGGCCACTCCCATCGTTCTGGTCTTAAAAACAGTTGGCATGGTGAGGATTTGTTGTCACTTTAAGATCACAATCAACCCAGCCCTGTGTGTGGATCGATACACCTTTCCACTCATAGAAGACCAATTCAATGGACCGGCTAGGGGAAAGAAATTTTCAAAACTGGATCTGACACAGGCCTAGCTATAGATGGGGTTTGCGAAGGAGTCTTAGCCACTGACGATAGTGACACAGAGGCGACTACTATAATACAAGAGACTGCCTTTTGAGATCATGTCAGTACTGGCTGTGTTCCAGAGGCCCATGGATCAAATATTAGATGGGTTTCCAGGAGGCATAGAGTCATAGAACTGTACAGCATGGAAACAGACCCTTTGGTCCAACTCATGCATGCCGACCAGAAATCCTAAATTAATCTAGTCCCATTTGCCAGCACTTGGCCCATATCCCTCTAAACCCTTCCTATTCATGTACCCATCCAGATGCCTTTTAAATGATGAATTGTACCTATCTCCACCACTTCCTCTGGCAGCATATTCCATACACGCACCATCCTCTATGTGAAAAAGTTGCCCCTTAGGTCTTATTTAAATCTTTCCCCTCTTGCCTTAAACCTATCCCCTCTAGTTTTGGACTCTGCTACCCTGCGGAAAAGATCTTGGCTATTCAGCCCATCCGTACCCCTCATGATTTTATAAACTTCTATAAATTCAGCCTCTGACACTCCAGGGAAAATAGTCCCAGCCTATTCAGCCTCTCCCTACACCTCAAACCCTCCAACCCTGGCAACATGCTTGTAATTCTTTTCTGAACCCTTTCAACTTTCATAATATCTTCCCTATAGCAGGCAGTATTCCAAAAGTGGCCTAGCCAATGTCCTGCACAGCCGCAACATGACCTCCCAACTCCTATACTCAATGCACTGACCAATAAAGGCAAGTACAGTCAATTCTGCTATAACGCATGTTCCAGCAATGCGAATCGGCTAAAACGTGACTGACGAATAGGGAAACACTACTTCTAAAACGTGAACTTGTTTTGGCTATAATGCGATTCCATCCATGTGCAAACTTTGAAAGGTTACCTTAAGTCACTCTAGGCGTGTATTTTAGGTCAAACAAAAGCAGTTGGATGATGGGATGAATCTTTTCTGACCTTATTGTTGATATTTTGGAAGATGTTTTTAGAAAGTATTGCAGGAAGAAAAATTTGGATTTCAAGATTCTCCTCATCCTGGATAATGCGCCAAGCCATCCTCCAACCTCTGGTGAGCTTTCTGAAAATATCAAAGTGCTATTTCCACCCCCAAACACACTGACCCTCCAAGGAGCATCCTACCCCCTTACCCTATCCCTGGAACACTGCATTTCCCATGGCTAATCCTTCTTGCCTGCACATCCCTAAACATTATGGGGCAATTTAGAATGGCCAATCCACCTAACCTGCACATTTTTGGACTTGATAATCTTGATAATTTTGTTTTTATTGGTTGGATATGGGTGTCGCTGGCTGGCCAGCATTAATTGCTCATCCGTAGTTGATACACAGCAGATGGTGATGAGCTGCTTTCTTGAACTGCTGCAGTCTACCTGCTGTGGGTTGACTCACAATGTCATTAGGGAGGGAATTGTGTATTAATGGGAGTTTCAAACTAAAAGGTTTGAGGTGTTCTCTGTGTAGTTGGGGCTGACAGGATAGCTGGTCGGGTGACAAGGAGGGCCAGAGCTTGGGTCCAGTCTGGAACTGGCTATGGAGGTATGAGCACCATCTATAAAGTGTTCCTGTTTGGATTTACTATTTATTTACCGTGTGTATGATTCCTGGTTCCCGAGGGAATAGAATCATAGAATCCCTACAGTCCTGATAGAGGCCATTCGGTCCATCAAGTCTGAATTGATCCTTCGAGGAGCATCCCATCCAGACCCTACCTCCCACCCTATGCCTATAACACCGCATTGACCATGGTTAATCCAACTAGTTTGCACACTACAGACAATTTAGCATGACCAACCTACCAACTCAAAGACTGTTACAAAAACAAAGTTGCTGGAAAAGCTCAGCAGGTCTGGCAGCATCTGTGAAGAAAAATTCACAGTTAACGTTTCGTGTCCAGTGAGCCTTCCTCACATCCTTCTCCAGCCACAATCCCCTCCCCTTAACAGAAGCCGTCCCTCCACTCTCCAATCCAACCCACTCCAGCCCCGCCCCCTCCTCCTCCAAAACACAACCCCGGCCCCGGCCCCGCCCCCTCGCCGCGTGCGCATGTGCCCGGATCTCGGGCTGGGGTGGTTCGTACGCCGGCGTCACGGCTCAGCCTCCTCCGGATCGAGATGGCGGTTGTAGGTGCTGAGGTGGTGGAGATGGATATCCAGGAGCAGCAGGTAACGGCGGACCTGCTCCTGCACACCCCTCTGATACTGCAAGAGAGCGAGATAGGATCCAGGTCTCGGGGGACACCCGGCAGAGCTCTGCCGGTGGTTCCACCGCCTGAGGTTTAATATGAAACCGATCTCAAAGCCTGAGGTTTGCACGGAGAAGGGACAGGGGACAGGGGACAGGGGACAGGGGACAGGTGGTGGGGGCAAGGGAGAAGAGCGGAGGGGGGGAGGGAAGGTGAAGCGGGTAACAGTGGGGAGGTAGGGAGAAGGCGGAGTATGGGGTTCTGGTGGGGGCAGAGCGTGAAAGAAGAGGGAAGAGGTGATGAGTGGGTCAGGGGGGAGGAGGGGAAGAGTCATAGAAGCAGATTTCCACAGCACAGAAACAGGCCCTTCGGGCCAACTTGTCCGTTCCGACCAGGTTCCCTAAACCGAACGGGCCCCCATCTGCCCTGTGTTTGGTCCATATCCCTCTAATTGTACCTGTCAGAGGAAGTAGTAGATGCAGGTGTAGTTACAACATTTAA